AATTTGAAAACTTTTCCTAAACTTTCGGAAGTACCTCGGGCCAAAAACAGAAAATCTTCTGAGTTATCGAGTGTGCTGAATACGAAAAAATCACTTTTCAGCAACTCTAAACCAACTTTATTTTTTTTCCGGTGATATGTAACACTAAATACAAAATAAACTGGAAGTAAAATTCACTAATTAAGTGCTTTTCAGTTTTTAATATCCATGCCAATTCAAATTTTATTGTGTAGACATCTATTTAAGTGAAAAATATCTCTTCGATTATTTTTTCTGTCGCTGTGTATCGTTAGATGGTAGCGATCTCTACATCATATTCTTATGCCTTTTATCACTCATTATAAGGTGAATGTTTAAAAAGAAACTCAAAACTTAATTAAAAGCTTTTCGAACATCTTTTGAAAGCACAACTATCGACAGCAACAAAAATATACTGAACATCTAACAATACACGACTGGAAGGCTTTTTCGCCAATGGCCGTTATGTCAAACAAATAGTTAATAGTAATTTTTCGTGGAACCAGCTCCCTGTGTGATTCGCACTACTCATATCGGGCATGCAAGATTAATGCATTTCTCTTGATTCACATACACATATACATGCATGTGGCTTGCAAGTTGCGTCTCTGCTAATGTATGAGGCACGCCTGTGTTCGTGCATGTACCGGCGCCTGTACGTATCAAGAAATTGGTCTTGGGAGGTGGTACAACGTATATACCACCGGCTTCGAAGGGTTAAAAAAAATTGAATTTCTATGTAATAATGTGGTTTGTTTTTATGCGATGTCCCACCTTTACCTTTCCTTTAACCTGCCCGATAAACCCTCCTTATATATTGAACAATTTTTCACCGACTTTCTAATCTCAACAATACTGTCACCAAACGTTGACCATATCAATTCATAATTACAGCAAAACTGCCAAGACTTCATTTCATATAATTCAAGAGATATCGCCGAATTACTGGTCGAATGGGACAGTTTTTATCTCCCATATCTCACGACCAGATTAAGTGTTAAAGGCCTTGAGCCTTGAAGAACTGAATAAGTAAAAGAGTTTAAGTATTTTGAAATATTATTTGAACTGTGTCTAGTGGATGGGCCATATTATGCCGAGTTTCGTATACAGGAAGATTAGAGTCCTGCAGTATTGGATGCCAACACCGTCCTGGTTTCTGAACAATTTCTCTAAATCCCTCTCATGCCTTCCGATCCCGTAATGATCCCTCCAATTGTTTTTCCAGTCTGGTAGAAATCGGAATAGGTTTGTCCAATAAACAATTTCAACTTTTATTTCAATAAATGTACAAACAGGTAATTGATTAGCATGCAACAGACAATAGTATTTTAGTCGTGTTTAAGCTTCTACCGATTTTACCATGAAATGTATTCGCTTTGAGTACAGCACCCGTGTTGACCTTCAGTTTGCTTTTAGTTTTCGTTGTTTTAGAACAGTGATATTTTGTTTACTTTTCTAATTTTTTCATAATGTCCTCATCTGAGATGACAATGGAAGACGATTCTGGAGAAGTATGTGGTCATAAACAAGATAAAACGTTTAATTATTTGACAAAAACATTTAATCAGAAAGATGGTCCACCCATACAGGTAAATTCAAAGGATTGATTTCAACGACTCGTCTTTTCGAAATCTGAAATATTCATAAACATATTAATTTATCAGTTTACTTCTGATGCATAAATTGCTCCATGTGCAAACCCCCGTTCAACCGAACCTTTGTTTATAACCATTGCATCTTCCATATCATAGCCCTAGCAGACATAAAATAACCACCAATATTAAATTAGAAGAAGTTAATCTTTCTCATACCGTATAAGAGAGTACAGCAACAATAGCATTTGTTCCCATAGCATAATCATCCAACAAATATTGATTATAAACACTGGTTCGTACAAGTGGAGCTTGAGGAGTTGTGATATAGTAAAGTTTATTATCATTATGACGACGATAAGCTAATGAAGAAGTGGTCAACTCTTCTCTTCTCCTTTTGTGTTTTAGGCAATGTGTGATATCACTCGTACACATGTCGATTCATTTAATTGGATGTTAAAAGAAGGACTAATGAAAGCAACAGCAGTATGTTGAGATTTTATTTTTTAGTGTTTGTTAAGAACTAGTATAACTCGACAGATCCTCAATGGAACTTGTGTTGTTTTGAACTAAACAGTTCTACAAATTGATTGTTTGATTATTCTAGTGTGTGCAACCCTTAGAATTTGAAACAAGCAATAAATCACGTATCAAAGTTAAATTTGTTGTAAGTATATCCATCTCGTAATAAAGATAGTATTTATCAAACTAGTGAAACTTAGCTAGTACATGAGAAAACATTGTGCAAGGTATGGCAATATGGAAGTATTGTTCGTAAAAAAAAGTTTGAAAGAGTATATATCTCTTTTTGCAAATATTTGCTTTTAATTGTTATTATTATGTCTTCAATGTCTACTAATTAATTTATGTAGAAGCTCGAAATTTCGCGACCAAAATCGAAAATAATTGCCGGTGCTAGTCGAACGCATCATGTTGTTTTTCCATTTGAAGTAAGTTCTTCTTTTAATCTATTTAAACAAAATTCTTCATTGCTCTTATTTTTAGTGTCGTATGGGTAAATGTACATATTCCGGACAATTGAATGCTCGTTTGCAGGCTGAAGTTTATGATTCAAATGGGAAAATGATTGGAAAAGAGACATACGACAGAAATTTGGGACCTATACCAGTCATGGTGCGAGTAAGTGAAAAAAAGATACCTTTATCAAATCATTAGGAACTAATTTACTATTTCTTCGTCTTAGAGCGATATATGTAATCTGAATAAAATGACAACGTCAGAGTTATGCTCAAAATCAGAAGAACCAAATGAAAACGGCGGTTACTTCATCGTCAAAGGTTATGAACGAATATTGCGACTATTAACAATGTCCAGAAGGAACTATGTAAGATCACATGTTTCTCAAGAGAAACTGTCGATCAACAAATGTTATAAAGCATTATGAATATATTTCATTATTTGTTTTGTATTTGTAGCCGATGGCGATGTCTCGTGGCAAATGGAAACAGCGTGGACCTGGTTTTACCGATAAAGGAATACAAATTCGTTGTTTAGCTGATGATCAACGAGGAATTGTACATATCTCACTCACTTTCTCGACTTGGTATTTTCTCCCTCTTTTTTTCTTGTAGGAAAATACTCTTCATTATTTGGATACAGGTGCCATCTCTCTGGCATTTATGCTTCGCAAAGAAATGTATTTTATACCCGTTATTATGATACTCAAAGTAAGGGACAGAAGTAAACAAAATGATAGAAACGTTTACTTTATCTTGTTGTTGATTTATTATAGATGTTAGCTGTGGACAATGCATCTGATCGTGAAATATATGGATGTTTAATGAGAGGTTGTGAAGGAAATAGAGCGTCCGAGGGGTAAGTGTCAACCATTTGTTGTTACGAACTATTTATAATGTTAGCTTGGAAGAATATAAAAACTTACATTCTTGTCGTTCTTAGATGATATAAAAGTAAAGCACTTGCCAGAGTAAAGCATAACCAGGGAAGCCAGTGCTTTCTGATCAAGTAGAAAGAACACATGCCTAAACAAATAACTTTACTAGAAGTCTGTCTCATTTTCCTTCTTCTTTTGATGTATTTATTGTATTTAGCTCCATCAAATACATGTTTCGTCAGTTACAGAAGACATTTTGGAGAGAACATCTGTTGCTGAATAAAGATCAAATATTAAACTATGTTGGTTCACATTTTCGTGAAAAGTTAAATCGTCCAGCATGGCATTCGGATCAAGAAATAGCAAAATATTTATTATCACAATATATCCTCATTCATATCAAAGACAATAATCAAGCTAAATTTAATCTATTAATGTATGTGACATAGATCTTAATATTCAGGTTTTATTCAATTGTATTTTGCTCTGTTTAGATTTATGATTCGTAAACTGTTTGCATATGTTCGAGATGAATGTAAAGCAGAAGATCAAGATTCACCATCGATGCATGAATTACTGCTACCAGGACACGTCTATTTATCATTATTAACAGTAAGTTTAAGAGTTACAGAAACTTTTGTATTGATCTCTTTAATTTTACTTTGATCTATTTGTTGTTATTCGTTGTTTTAGGAACGTCTAGAGTCATGGCTATGGACATTGCGTGAAACGTTTCTGAAATTAAATAAAAACAAAAATGATGCTATTACTACAAGTATGTAAGTATATTTATCACCTTTTTAAACTTTATCAACTATATTTGCTGTTTATATTTTTTTTCTAGAACTTCGCTCGTCGATGGATGCGATTGATAAAGATCAAATAGCTAAAGCATTCGAATTTTTTCTAGCCACAGGAAATTTAAATTCAAAAACAAACCTTGGACTCAGACAGGTAAGAAATACTTAATCATTTTGACGTGTATAGATCTTTTTGTTTTTGTATTTATTTTAGACAAGTGGTTTTTCAATCATTGCCGAACGTTTAAATATTTTACGTTTTATTTCACATTTTCGTTCTGTTCATCGTGGGGATGCATTTACTGAAGCAAAAACAACATCAGTGAGAAAATTACATCCCGAAGCATGGGGATTCTTGTGTGCTGTACATACGCCGGATGGATCATTATGTGGACTATTGAATCATTTGTGTATAGCATGTAAAGTGCGTAGTAAAATAATAATATACTATTCAAGCAAAAAGAACGTTATCATTTTTTTTTTGTTATATTTATTTTAGGTTTCAGATGATTATCCTTTTGATACAATTACTGATCTTCTACATTCATATGGTATGATTTGTCCAGCTAATCCAATTGGAGAACATTTAGTCTCACACGAGTCGTCGTATGATGTTCTTCTCAATGGCCAAATAATCGGTTATGTGTCAGATAACAAGGTATCACAAATTGTTCAACAATTGCGTCTAGATAAATGTCTCTCTAGACCTGGCGTACCAACTTATCTTGAAATTGTTCATATACCAAAGACGGGCAAATATACTCTCTATCCTGGTGTCTATCTATTTACAACACCGGCACGAATGATGAGACCGGTGAGAAATTTACAGACAAATACACAAGAATATATTGGCACATTTGAACAAGTCTATTTGGGAATATGTATTACACATCAAGAATTTGTTAATGGAGTAAGTGACTATTAAATATAAACTCAATCAATAGTCCTTTAATCATGGGTGCTGAGTAACTCTAGTGTTCAGTTAGTTTCAATTAAATGATTTTTTTTTTCTACATTCAGTATACAACTCATCAAGAATTGAATCAGCATAATTTTTTGAGTATAACAGCAAACTTAACGCCATTCAGTGAATATAATCAAAGTCCAAGAAATATGTATCAATGCCAGGTATTTTGAATATCTTCTAGATTTTCCTAACTCTTTTTAATATTTAATGGACTTTTAGATGGCTAAACAAACAATGGGTACTCCTTCATTAGCTTATCGTCGTCGTAATGATAATAAACTTTACTATATCACAACTCCTCAAGCTCCACTTGTACGAACCAGTGTTTATAATCAATATTTGTTGGATGATTATGCTATGGGAACAAATGCTATTGTTGCTGTACTCTCTTATACGGTATGAGAAAGATTAACTTCTTCTAATTTAATATTGGTGGTTATTTTATGTCTGCTAGGGCTATGATATGGAAGATGCAATGGTTATAAACAAAGGTTCGGTTGAACGGGGGTTTGCACATGGAGCAATTTATGCATCAGAAGTAAACTGATAAATTAATATGTTTATGATTATTTCAAATTAATTTACTTTTTTTTAGCTTATTGATTTGCAAGAGTTTGTCACCGAAAAATCTGATCAAGGAAAATATCCACTCGTTTTTTGTATGTATTTTGATCTGTGGATGATATAGGGAAAATTCATTTGTTTTATTTTCAGCTCTTGATACTAAAAATGTTCAGTGGCGCCATTTAGATCAAGATGGTTTACCTGTTATTGGTTCAACAATTTATCCAGAAGATGTTTTATGTTGGTCTGTATTTATGAACAGTAAGAATTCTTTTATCTCACTTGTATCTTTTGTTGTAGTTATTTGAATACATTAACCGGTGAATACAAACCAATAAAATATCACAAGAAAGAACCGTCACATATTATGTCCGTAACACTTGTAGGCAGCGAAGATGCAAAACTACCAAAATCTAAAGTTTGGATTATGTTTAGAATAATGGTATTTTTATATTAGTCTCTTTCTACTATATTTATGAATATATATTTACTGCTTATTTCTAGCGTACACCAATAATTGGTGATAAATTTTCTAGTCGTCATGGTCAGAAAGGTGTTTGTTCACGTTTATATCCGAGCGAAGATTTACCATTCACTGAATCTGGTCTTGTGCCTGATATTATTTTTAATCCGCATGGATTTCCATCTAGAATGACCATCGGTATGATCTTTGAACGTTTTATTCCCTGTAATTTTTAGCTCTACTCGTTCGCTTAAGGTATGTTAATTGAATTTATGGCTGGCAAATCGAGCGTATTACATGGTCTGTGTCATGATGGAACGCCGTTTCAATTTGATGATGATTATCCGGCTGTTGATTATTATGGAAGATTACTAAAAGATGGTAAACGAAACAGAATGAATAGAATTATGACTATGCTTATTATTTCTATGATTTAGCTGGTTTTAGTTATTATGGAACAGAATCAATGTACAGTGGAATAACTGGACTACAATTAGAAGTTGATATATTTATTGGTGTTGTGTTTTATCAGAGACTAAGACATTTAGTTAGCGATAAATTTCAAGTATGTATATTTCTGAGTAATTATAACAAATGTGCAAATAGTTGTGTATTCGTGAATGCAATTTTGAGTTATAAAAATATTATAATATTAATACCGCAAATTACAGTACCAGCTGTAAAAATATTTAATGAGAGTCACAGTGATGTTTAAAACAACCAATATATTTAGTCCCTGCGATAAAAACTGAGAGTCAGTGTAACGTAAGACACAGGAGAAACACTCTTGTGTTGAAATGTCTTTTTATTTAATCCGGCAAATATGTTGTATGATACACTCTTTAGTAGCGATTACAAATATGGTAGTCGTGAAGTTAGAAGTTGAAGTTATTCACCAAAAATTGGTAAACCACTCTTTTTATACCAAAAAAACTCGTGGTTTTTTATTCGTGGCTTTAAAAGATTGTAGAGTATGTATTAAAAAAATGCATACTCGCCAAAATTAAACAGAACCTAAATTTCTGAACCGATCTTTATTCTATGGCTGGTTACTGTGAAGAATGGAAGATCCTCGGGGAACAGGCTGAGCTTTAAGAAAGAAAGAGACTTAGAAATTTAAGTGTTCTTATAAAATAAAGAT